CTTAGATAAAATTTAGGAAATTCATACGTGTTAAACGTGTAAGTTAATAATTATCACGTATGTGTATATATGTTGTGCGTGCACGCGTGCACGTTTCAATGATATATACACTCACACACTTATCCAAATTTGTATCTATTATATATTTTTTAAGTAATTGTATCATGTCAATAATAATTGTATATTCTGTATAAATGTAACATTTATTTGGTCTTTTGAAAAATCCTTTACACCTCTCTCTTTACACATATCTCTCTTTACGTATATATCTCTACATTTTCGTGTATATCTAATTGCAAGAGTAATCTCTAAATTACTCTTCTCACACATAATATTCTTCCAATTTGTCTTTGTTTTTAGGAGTACAATTTTATTTAATTGTAAAAAATTTTTTAGGAAATTCTTTTTTTTTTAACACTTTTTTTCTCAAATATTTCTTTTTTTAAAACTGAAGTATCAATCTGGCAGCATATTATCTTCAGTTGTTAAATATGTATGTTCTGAAGTAATACCATTTAATGAAACAGAACATCGAAAACAACAATTTACCTACAGTCGTTAAATACATTATTAAAGTCATGCTATGCTAGCTTTAATAAATAAATTTTAGTAACAAAAATTTCTCTTTTAGAAATTCTTTAATAAAATTATTAACACGTTTTGTGTTTTATTATTAAATAAAATGTTTATTCGAGTTAATTATATAACTGCAATTAAAATTTATTTGATATTACAATACTAATAGTAGCCAGTCAATACAAGTACAATATACTATAATCTTGTATATGGTTGTAAAAACAACTGTAAAAGGTATTTACTGAGAAATAAACATTTATTATTATAGTTTCATTTATTAAAAATTTTTTACAATATATGTATATATATTTTATGTTAAATATAATAACTTAAGCTAAGATAATAATATATACATCATTTATCTGCGCATCTATAGTAAATGCGTTCTCTATTTTGTTCTTAATCAGAATAATGTATTTTTAAATCATACAAATTATTGTTTGCGTTCACACATGCAATTTTATCATTAAAAACATCGTATCATATATTAAAATTTACTACAGTTCTTGTTTTTTTTTGAAATTATTGCACCGTCAATGTCCATTCCTACTTGAATTTAAAAAAGCCTCGCCTGTTGATACGATGATGGAGTAGTTCGCACTATTGCTTCGTGTTCGCTAAAAAAAGCATATTAAATTAAATTAAGTTAAATATATTTGCTTGTGTATTTAATTATAAATATAATTTCCAATAATTCTATCAAATGAAAATCCATTGAGAGAAAGAACGTAATAATTTTGTCGTGTGAAAGAAGAAGATAAAAAATTTTTTAATTTTTAAATTTACGTAACAATAAATATTATTATTTAAGGGAAAAATATTTGGCAATTCTTGTAAATTATTTTCTGTTTAAAAATGTGTTTTGTACAATTACAATAAATTTATAAATATTAATTAGAGGTAATAAAGAGAAAAGAAATTTATTTTATACAAAGGACAAAAAACATTTTTAAATATATATCACTTACCAGCCGGTGACATTTTCCGCGGCATCGCAAGTGCCGATGAGGTCGTTGAAGGCGTTTCCAATACCGCAATTCTGCAATCTCGGACGCCCGTTCACGCAGATGTAATAGTGGTGGCAATCGGCAGGACTGCGGAAAAACTTAGTCTCGACGTCCAAGAAGGGACCGCTCCTCACCTCCGGGCAGCGAAAACCTAGAAAACTTTCGGCGTCGCAATCTGCCACTTGATCCGGCCAATCGCATCGATAGGTCTCCGGATTGAAGGCCAGACCCTCCGGACAATCAAATACGTAACCCCTACCATCCACGCAGTTCATAAATTGACCGCAGTGCTGATGATCGCCGATCTTGAAGTAACCATATTGATGGGGACAATTCTCGGTTGGATTCGCCGGCTCTGAAAAAATTCAGTAGCAAAGAATTAAATTTTAAATGAATAAAAACGGATGGATTGAACCATATTATTAGAAAATCTATGAGAAGGTATTTCTAATAAAAATTTATAATAATCATATCAATGTGATTGTGATTGTGACTCACGTAAATTCGGTCTGCCCGTGCAATCTATGTCGATCGGATATCCACAGGGATAGTTGAAGCGCGCCTCAGGATTGAAATATAAGCCTTCAGGACACAACTTCTGCTCGGCAATCCCGTCGATGCACTCGATGTAGGCGTCACATTGATTGTGCACCGGGTAGCGACCATTTCTCTCCGGACACGATGCTGACGAGCCACCTTTCGGCGATAAATGCTGCCGATCGCGATTAAACTGATTGTCAAACAGTTGATTTGAAAATCTACTGTTTTGATTGAGTGCTGAAATATAAAAAAAAAAAAAAAAAATCACAATAATAATTTATATCGTGACATTGCATCTGTCAGACAATTTGCAATTTACAATTAAATTTAAATTAAAATATGTAAAATAAATTAGTTTCGCTAAAAATGATTTCAATTGAATTGTTAATTGATTTGAACGTTTCTTTCAAGATATACTCTTAAGGCAGGCAAAAAACTCAGTGTTACGTGAGCTCAATGTTACGCAGAAAGAATTTTTTTCTCTCTGTCACAATTCTAGTCTAGTTATCATGTTTCACAGAATTAAAACGATTCCAAGACGACGAATTTAATTGAATGTTCACAAAACTCGCCAGACGAGACCGTTCAGAAGATATTAATAAGTCAGTTTAATGCAGTGCGCGCGATTATCGCACGACAGCGAAAGTTCGGCGGTCGCTGGCGCTCGACCTCTACGAAGACACCGCATACATTAATTTGTTACCTGCGCATCGCTTACGTAATGCACCTGTAAACGATTTGCCGCAGGCGGAATGAAGTCAGGCCCAATCAGGGCTTGAGAACATATTTCGAGAAATGAAAATAAAATCAGTGAGGATTTTTAAAGGATATATAACAGCGAGATTAAATTTGGAGAAATTTTTATTGAGAAATTTTTATGTGTCACCCCTTCTTAATGGCAATGAAGATAAAAACTGATATAAGTACATTTGGGTGAGATCCGATATCCCGAAATGCTTTCTTGAAAAGCTGAGAAACGTCGGTGATGATTCTGAATGAAAACCGTTTTCGAAAAGGTTTATTTTCGCGGGGCAGAAATTGCGCAAGGTAATGAGTGCAAACGACGAGAGAGAAAGTTTCGCTGATTACAAATTCGATTACTCGTCGTTAGGCTGAAGACGAGCATGTTAATGTCATCCATCGACAGATTCTTTTGTCCGAAAGAGGGTTTCTGTGGTTAAAAGAAACGCATACTATACTATATTATTCACTCGTGATGAAAATAAAAGAACCAAAAGTATCCTTTTTCTTTTTTTTTTTTTTTTTTTACTATTATAACAGACTTACATTTACGATCTATTATTTTAATCTAACTACGACAGCAAAAGATTAATATTCACGCATGTCCAAGTTTTGAGCTTAAAAATTCATTTCCCCAGCAGTATGCAAGCGCATCGCATACAAATCACCGATGCGCTCGTGACTGAGCATACATATAATAACATGATGGGAAACTACTATTCAGGACGCGTTGCATTTATAAAATTGAATGTACACAAATTTCCTAAGCGTCCTGGAGCTTAGCCAGCCTTGTTTAAGCCATCTAAATTACGTACCGTAATTACTTACATAACGTTACATAATGTTACGTTAAAAATCTGCTCTTCGTAAATTAAATTATCGCTATTTATAAATTTAATAAAAAAATATAATTTTTATGCTGTTTTGCATTTGATTAGAAATAAATTCGAATGTTAATTGTTATTCGGTTTTAAAAAATTACAATAACATGTACTTTTTGATTTGTAAGGTATGTAACTGATTCTCTTTTTCCCTTTCTCTGTCTCAGTTTATTTAAACCACTCGACGTAATTTCACACTCAAATATTAATTCTTTAAACAGCTGACAAAACGAAAAGGAGGAGCTGGAAAAAATTAAAATTAGAATTAATTTGCGCGAATAGAAAGGGATCTTTTTTCTAAAGTACACAGAGGAAAAATTTGAAAAAAATGTCACACTCGGGCGTCCTTGCGAAAAGCTCGCGTCACTATTTTTAGAAGGAAAGCGGACGTGAGAGAAATGACGATTTTTATATATGTTTGCCTATTCCTCAGTCGATTGGCGGACAGACGACGATGGCATTTCGCTTTCTCTCAAATGGTGAGAGACAACACCGGAGGGTAAGCTCTCTTACTCACACGTTGTCGCGGCGACAATGCCGCAGGCGATTAGCAGACGGACGATCGGTTTCGAGGCCATCCCGGACTCGTCGTCGTCGTTGAAATTCGCGCGTTCACGTTCCTTCTGGCCCGATCCCGAAAGGAAGACTACGACGCGCCGTCGCCCGGCGTGCTTTTATCATCTCTTTGCACACTTGGATGAGAGCGGGAGAGGATTGCCGCATCTTCGTTCCAGAGATGCCGGTGAAAATCGCCTTGCCGTCCCGTCCTCTTCTCGAAGTGACATCCATATCGTAACTCGAAAAGACGACACGTTGCTCCATTATTTCGAGCGGTTCATTCATTCCTGCGTTCTTCTGTCTTAACTTTGCATGCGACGCACGACGGAATTAGAAAAACAGATCGATAGCTCATATAATATCTGAATCATCATTTAAAATTAACTGCGCATGCCTGCAACTTCATTTAAAATTAAATTCCGATAAAAATTGATGATACCTGATAAATATAAACGAAAAATTTATTTTTGAAGTGGACGGACGTAAGCAAAAAAATGGTTTTACATCAATTTCTAAATTTCCTCTTTCTGCTTACAATACAGTAACCGTAGTTGATACTCTATTCACGTTTATAATATATTTTAAAAATGAATTCTCGCTATCTTAGATCTACATGAATGTCAGAATGAAGAGAGATAAATGTCATCTGCGACTAGCTCTATCTATGCTTCTTGGAAGCGTGTACATGTTTCTATATAATTCATATTATTATGCTGCAATAATTATGCCAAATTTAATTTACATAAGAAATTGTTATTAATGCTATTGTTATTCAGTGAGACGATATGCGTATATAATTTGTACTTAACGTAACACTTTCTTGCGATCTAAATGCATTTTGTTAAGCGAAGAGATACTCTCTAATATTTGATTTTAACGGAATTAAACTCTAATCTTTGTAATATAACTTCGGACTTCTTTATTGTTATTAATAAACGTATCTTTTACATAGATTCAATCTTTTTTTTATAAGTTTTTTTAAAGCAAAGGCAAAATAAAATTTCATTTTTCTTGAAGGAACATAATGTAATTCTTTCTAAACGTTCTCTTGAGTTTTCTTTTTGTCCCACTGGGAATCACTGAAAAAGACGAAAAACACGGATGTTTGTGTACCGGAGGAAAGGAGCATCTCGCTTCGAGCTCTGCGGAATGGAGCCTTGACATTTTCCTCGTATCGACGAGAGTAAGTCGCCTCGAATGTGGAAGGTGGACGTCTAGTGGTCTTTTACCGCGACGTGCGCAACCAGCATCTGATGAAATTACAACAAAATACTGGGAGACGATTCCTCGAATATCTTATGTATCACTGCCCGATAATTCCGTGTTCCAACTTGTAACAACTTGTATTAGATCGACGAGTCAAGAATTTCAAAGGCAACAACATTTTACGCGCTCGACTTTCAATCCGACCGAGATATGATATTTATTATCAAAATCAATTGATCCATATTTAATCGATCTCTTGAATTTAATTTGAAAGGTTTTAAACAGTAGTCTATAGTGCCAAAAATTTTAATAATCATTTTAACTACTAATTTTCATACTGCGCAAATGCATTAAAAAAAAAGAATACAAATTACATAAAAATACAAATAAATTGTTATTTTGATATCTGATGCCAAATTATAGATTGTCCAAAATGAGCTTTATTAAATATCGTCTGTCTAATGACAGTCGATAATTACTAGGTGTATCGCGCGGGTTGTTTGACAACGAGCGATGTATGACCAATACTACTTCGCTTTGCATATTCGTTATATCGCTTCTTTTTTTACTTGTATTTTTTTACTTGTATGATCTAGTGAAACAGACAGACGAAATGGTTATGATATATTCACAGAAAAAAATTATGTTATATTAAGCATACGTTTAAATATTAACTCTCTATAAATAAACACTCTATTTATTTCTAATTTATATTGAAGTTGTTGAATGGATCGAATTTTCCTCATGATCCTTTTTCAAAATCGTATAACAGGTCTTTCGCAATTTTTTTACGCAAGCACCGTAAGATTAAAAATAGTTTGTTTTCCTCAGTTTAATTTAACGTACGGATTGTGACTGCCTATGTTGATCAGAATATTCGTTTTTATCGTATTTCTATCTTGCGTATTTTATCCCGCGCAAATAGCCTTCATTTTTTTTATTTCTAATTTTATATTCATTAATATGGCAGTTTTAAATTTATTACCACACACGAGAGAGAAAATATATGGAAACATTAAAATTAAAATAATATCTCACGCAAAATAATATCTCATAAGCTGTTAAAAAAAAAAGAAAATGTAAGAGATAACAAAAAGAGGATGAAAATTATGCGGAACCGTTGGATCCAGATAGACGTTAATTCATATTGATGACGACGGGGATCGAATAGTTATATTTTACACATATTTTACACGTCATTCACGCAGTGAAGCACACACGTACACACATATACATACATATATACATACATACACGCACACATGTCTAGGAAATAATAAACGATATCGTATCTGTCGCTTTAGCTTTTGAATAATCACTTTTATTTTTGATCCTTATCAATATTAAACAACGTATATAGTTACGTAAGGATATATATATTACATGGAAAATTCTGTCCTTCTCGTGCGCATATATCTTCCCGAGATACCTCGAGTGCCCTCCACCCGACCGTCCCGAAAGAAAAAAGTATATCGTCACGCACATGCATCATTCACTCTTTCATTTCTCTCTCTCTCTCTCTCCTCTCTCTCTCTCTCTCTCTCTCTTCTATTCTCTCTCTCTCTCTCTCTCTCTCTCTCTCTCTCTCTCTATTTCTTCCTTTCTCACGCTCTTCCTTTCGTCCTCTTTTCCTCTCTTTCTTCCTCGTTCTTCGTTTCTATTAAGGACAAGAAAGATTTCTTCTTCTTCTTTTTTTTTTTTACATCTGATTCTTTAATGGCAATTAATGACGGCATTCTCGCGGAATTTCCGACGTTGAAGGACGCATTTCCATTTTTTGTCGGACGATACCATACACCATTAACCTTCTCTCCTCGAAAATTCGTGATCTCGAATCTTCCCGGTGTCGTTCGCATCCGTCCATCCGTCCACGCGATCGCCCAATCGATTCGCCCCGAGGGACGACTCGTAGGAACTCGCAGATGCACCCTTGCAAATCCGACAGTGGAGTCTCGCATTAATAGCGACGTAGAATTGTGAGCGAGGCGCACGGCCACGTCACGCCACGTCTCGCGAGATTGCTTATATAGAAGATTGAAATCGCTACCGGTTAATTTAATATTAATATACCGCTCGCTTTTCGCACGACGTCGTCCGCCATTTGTTCGCGACGAATAAAGATATTGCAATGCGCAGCGCGCCGGAACCCAATTCCTTGCGATGTGCAATCATCAGAAACGAACTTATTGATTCTGCATACAATATAAGCCGTTGTGCACACACGAAATATTTGGTAGGACGCCATTTGGGATTCACCGAGAACACGATACAATCTTCCTTCGTTATTTTCGTCCGTTCGCACAGGGTGTGGGGTCTCAGAGAGAAGGGAAAATTGAAAATAAATAACTTTTGCGCTGATTCGCTCGTAAGTTGCAGCGTAATTCTGTGTGCACGACGCCGCAGACGTATATTCTATCGTATTCTATCGTACTCTATTAAAAATCAGCTTCGTCAGAAGATAAGATGCGTGACTCTCTCGGTCGTTCTTAACGCTTCGCTTCTACGGGGAACGTATATCTTCGTTTTAGCTTTTGCATTCGTACATTTATACGAGTACGCGCTCGCGTAATTATATCGCGAAGACGAACCGCTTAGCCACTGATTGCTTATCCTATCGTTTAGCATATCGCACTTCCAACGGAAAAGAAAAAAAGGAATCGCGAGTTATCACAAGTCAACCTTTCGCGCACAAATCGCGTTTAGAGAGGGAAGAAAACAATTACTTAAATCACCAATATTATTATTGCCAAGTATATGTGTGCGACGGTAAGTAAACGCCGCCTACGTTTACGCTACTCTCTCATTTTCATATCACATCGGAGATACATGCCCTCCCTCCTCCCCCCTCCCCTCCCCCTCCCCCCTCGTCCGAGGAGAAGAAGAAACAAACGACGATTTCGCGCGCCGCGATTTGCGCCGCGGCCGGCACTTTCCTCGACTGAAAGTGCGATATTTTTCCGCGTCGTGCCTCCTCGCGGGAGCTAATACTTTCAACTTACAGCCGTCGAAACTCTCAAGATATTCCGCAGCGAGTTTCCGCTGCGACTTCAAGGTACACACGTGGACATCTGCGCGGGAAGACCCGCCGGTCTCGATATAAAACCAAAAATTAAACATTTCGAAACATTTCGAGAATTATCCGATGGATATCCTAATCCATGTCGAACATTCTGCGAACGTCTCTCGGACGTCAGGTTCAGGTTGCTTCGGTTTCTCCCGTCTGCAAACGGCAGAGCTTTTTTTCTTTCCGTAGCACTCCTTAACTTAAATCTTAATTTGCGGTTTGTATCTCGATCGCCGTCGTCCCGCCATCTTGCGCAATAGGCCATTTCCTCCTATCTAAGAATACGAAAAACTAACTAAAAGGGCAAAACGCCGCGTCCTCCTCATCATTCTGCTATTAGTCTCGCGTGTAGTTCTATTCTCTTGAGATACATCGAGACACGCAATCTCAATGAATCTGTTTGTCTAACAATGTTATTCGCATAGATAGTATACTTGATTTATGAGCCAAAGAAGAAAGCTATGCCGACCATAAAATATTTATCGACTTTAAAATTTCATCCAGAAAAAAGTATCGGTCAAAAATCGTTATTTATTCATCGATTAAAAAAAACCACTCGAAATATCGCTGTTGAAAAATGTAATTTTATGAACTGAAAACTGTCATGACTCTTAGTAAAAAAAAAAATAATATAAATAATATAAATTTATAAAAACAATACAAATAATTTTTACTTGTATTATTTTTATAAATAATTATTTATAAATAGTAAAAATAAATTTATAAATTTGACATAGCTTCTACATAGCTTCAGCAGATTTTCATCGTTTCAATCGTCACACCTGCTTGTCCGTTTTAAGGAAAGGATCTCTAACGTCTCGTCTAACGTCTGGAGAGATGTGTACAGGCACTGTTCTTTCACAGAGTAAACTCCCGTCCGTCAAGAATTAAACACGGTCCTGCGACGGACATCCAGAGCACCGTAATTTTGCTCCCATCGCAATATGCGTTACGTCACGGTAAACGAGAAAAAAATATGCATTGATCGCTAGTTTTGTTCCAAAAGCGCATTTTTGACATCTCAAAGTCGGTCAACAATATTTTTTTAATATAAACATAAGATGTATAATCAAACCTAATAACGTAACATTAATGTTGTAATTTCCCATTTAACAATGTAACTGTTACATAACACGCGTGTTATATTGCATTTACGTGTTACGTTACATTTGTTGAGAGGTAAATTATAACATTGACGTTATTATTTTACTGTTAGTACGTCTCCAAATTTGTATTTCGTACCAAGGAAGTGCCACGTAAGTGTATTGAATTATAAATTGTATAAGATTTATGATTCAAATTTTTTCGCGAGTGACACCACGGTGACGTAGACTCGGTGCAAATAAACAGTTTCCTGAGATATCCGCGACATTATTACAGGGGTAGAGGATCATGAGAAAAAGAAAAGGAACGGATGCACTGTAAATTACATTGCAAACGCGAAATTTTTCGCCTGCGCTTCATCTAGTAAAATTGGACCAGAAAATTTGGCCATTTAAATTTTTTTCTCCTAATAAAGATTTACTTTTGGACGCAACTTTTTCGCAGTCCTTGAATATATCGAATACGAAATACTTTTATATTAACCTGAGTAAAAAAATTTGATTTACAACTAAAAGAGTTTCAATCTCTAATTTTCAGTCGAATTTAGATAAAGAGCGAAGAGAAAGGTAGCGATCCATTTCAGAGAATGGATACCAACCTGTGTTAATTAATGCCTCGCGACCGCGAGAGTAGATGCGAATTTGTGACCACATTGATATGTGTGTATCACCTAAAAAATCGAACAGTGTAGAAAGTATTCTATGTATAAAGTACTACACGTATTCTACGGGACGCGTCGTCAGTGTGCGCGTAGGCTAAATTTCACTATCGCGCCACATTCCGCGACTATCGCGCGCCGCGAATGTATGCAGGAATGTTGATATGTGTGAAAGATCACCCCCGATCGATATGTGGAGAATAAAAAGCGAGAACCAAGCTCTCGACCTGCCCCTGTAGCGTGTCGAGTATCTCCCCTTTCGATCCTCGAATCAATTTTGCGCTTGGAACGCGAAACGATCGACGTTTTATCGTCGTTAGAGATATATAGTTTCGTATCACAGAGAATATACGTGTATATATAATATATAATATATAGATGTGTGTGTGTGTGTGTGTGTGTGTGTGTGTGTGTGTGTGTGTGTGTGTGTATGTGTGTGTGGTACATAACATTTCTTTTCTTTTTCCTCGCGAGATTAATCGGAATCCCACCGGTTCCGCTGAGAGACCCGTACGCGATAAACTCAAGGGGAGATTAGAGCGAACGATCGGCATTGAAACTCACCCTCGAGGCAATATAATGAGATATACAAGTAACGACTAGCGCGAATTTATATAATGATGAAAATTGAAAAATTTGTATAATATCAGCGCCTTAAAAGTATTCTTTTCCTTCGTTTGTTTTTTTTCTCTCGATCGCTGAACATTTCGTTCCTCGACTTACTTAATCATAATTTAATCATCGATAACATTGTTGCCGTGGCTCGAAATGATTTTGTCCGAAGCACGACTCGTCGATCGTTCGGCACTCTAGCCACCCCTAGTCATCGCCTCATTTGTCAAGTTCGCCGTTCACGTTTGGAAAAGGGACGCGGAATGGTGGGCGACTCGAGAGCCGCAGGACGATTTTCGCCCACGAAATTGCGGACGATGCGTCCTAACGAAGTAGTAAAAGTGGAGCAGCTGGAGACGAAGGTAAATTACAGACACGAGAAGAAATGCAGTTTTTCGCGAAAGCGATCGCGAGGGGGAGGGGGTTGGTCGTCGTACCTGCCAACGACCCGCCCCGGCGTTCGAGCGACCGGCGCGTCGCGACGCGTCGACGCTCGCCTGGAAGATCGCACGATCGAACGTCGAATAGTATGCACGACACGACGTGTCTCCGTTACGTGCGAAAACGTGGCTAAACAGCGATCAACAATAAACGGCAACGATAAATATACAACAACGCGAAGACACTCGGCCGTACGGCAGTCCTGGACATTTTCCGAGAAAATTAATCTTGAGGTGAGAAAAATTATTTGTGTCAAAGCATCTGCGGCGTGATTCAAACCGCGCGTACTTTGACCTCGCGATAAATTTCCGACGATCAAAATATGCGCCGCCTTCCGCTTGCATTTCTTGATTGTTCCGCAATGCGCGATCGATAAGTGATTCCGCAATTCGTGTGCAATTTCGCATTTTATTACGGTCGCATATCGTACGTTTCGTACCCTCCTTGGAACTTGGAATATTTCGCATGTTACATCGCGAGGGGGGGTTTTATCATCGCGATTGATCTCTCGAAATTGATAAATGCGATAGGTAAGCTAACAGAGGGAATAATCGAGAGACCAAGCCGAGGATTATCTTTTGTCGCTACACACACACACACACACACACACACACACACACAGCGTCGCTTCTCCTGAATTATCTCGACCCAGGCTAATTGGAGCTCCACTCGTGGTGTGAATAAGTAATCGCGGCGGCAAGAGTGCATTTTCGCTTTCGTATCGGAGACACGGCCGCGCGTTCTCTCGACCTTAATTACCTCGGGAGTATCGAAAGGCTATCCTCGATTCATCGCGCGGAACACACTAGCGGACAGAGAGAAGCACAACGGACTTGTGCACTTACGTACGGAGAAAACGGTTTGTCTCGAAACACCGAAGATATGTACACGAAAATGAAATCTTATCTCGCGTCGTCTCCCATTAATCTCCGATCGTTTCAATCCCGAAATGCGAAATTGGATGAAATCGGCAGAGGCTCTCGAGAAAGAGAGAACTCGTTAAAACTATTTAAAACTTTTTTCAACGTCCGGCCTCTGCCCCGCCAGTTCTCTTTGAAACTTACTTCAATTCCGAACGAAAAATTGATTTTCTAATTATTAAAATAAACAGAGCTGTAAACTCTCAATTTCTTCTTTCGATATAACCAATCTTCTCGCAGCGAGCTCGATTAGCCGTACTCGCCTTCAGTTTTTCATTCTTCGTCGTTGGGAGGCGACGCGCGCTTAAATACTAGATAATTTATACAAATTGCGTGTAAATTAATAATCAAAGGATTTACTCGAGGTAAGACGTATGTAAGTATTGTAGTAAGCTTAGATATACGATTATAATATGTTAGACTAAACTTCCTTTTTTTTTCTTCTTTTCGGGAAAGACTAAAGTTAGGCAAAAGATGACGTTTTTCTTGTTTTTTTTCTTTTTTCTTCGATAAAATGTTTTCTTCTACGGATTCTCTCTCTCTCTCTCTTTCTCTCTCTCTCTCTCTCTCTCTCTCTCTCTCTCTCTCTTCTCTCTCTCTCTCCCCCTCTCCTTCTCCCTCTCAAACATACTCTTTATTCATTACTCTCTCAGGCACACCTCGTTTTTCCTCCTATTTTATTCCGCTCTTTTGTTTTCTCCCCCTCCCCTCTCATTCTCATTTGTGTTTTTCATTCATTCTCTTGTTCCGACGACACATTTCATTCTTGTCTCGCACTCGCGGACTAGCGATAAATTTCAATAGCTTATATTAGCAGTTAGAACGCTCTCTTGGAAAACATAAATTTCGCCTTATACTAATAATGGTAATGGTCTCTTCATCTTTCTCCCCGCATTCCTTCTTTCCCTCCATCCTTCTCATTGCCTTTACTCTCTCAACTCGTCGTCCTATTTTCATCCCTTACCCCCTTTTCTCCACTTCTTGCGATCTCGTCAACGACGGTACTATAACTAGAATAATAAATATTGCCGCAAAATTATTTGCTACATTCGTCCCAAATAGTAGTCAACAAGTCCGACTCTCGGAGTATCGCGGCTCTTGGCCTCCTTGTTTATATTACTTGTTGTTGATTAAATTTCTTTGACAACTTCTGTCGCGCATATTAAAGAAAAATGTAACTTTCGAGTGAACGATCGAGCATCAACGGCATCTTCAAAGTGACCAATTTATTCCTCATAGTCATTTTATAACAGTGTCAAAAAGCATCTAATCAAAAACTCGTTTAAAATTAAAACAGCGTTTAATAACACAAAAAATATAAAAGAATAAATTTAATTCTAAAAGAAGAAGTATCGATAAGCACTATAATGACAAAATATTAGCACTCTTTGATTCTATGATAAAAAATTCCTTTCTAAAATAAAATAAGAAAAGAATTAAAAGAGTTTGAAAATTAGCTCTAAAGAATCACTAGTCTTCCATCAGTCGATTAATTGCAGTTCAATTTATATCTTATACTTCACAAACTTAATTTCAGATAACATATCGGATCTATATTGAATATCTTACGGACATTTTTTTAAAACAATTCTTTTGCTCCTATTAAGCGCATTGAACTTTGATCGTCGAAAGCTAAATCGCTCATCTGCTAAAAGGAGTTGCTCGCGCAACTCTCTCGCGCGTTTTCGAATCTCGAAAACACCGCGAGATCTCCGAGAAGTCTGATTTCACCGACGCCAATCATCCGATGCCAGTCGCACGCGCGCCACGTGCCAACGTGTCAGGGATGTATAGTAGTAATAATAATATCTCTTTCTTTCCCTCTCTATTCGTGTGTAGTGTATACATTAATATCCGTTCTCGGTACCGCGCGCGATGCTCCTCAATCGTCCCAGGTGGGGAAGCTCTCCTGGTTAATGAACAGAGTCTTGTTCGTCGTCGACGCGGTTTGGTCGATGCGATGGCCGCTCGCCGCCGCCCCCGTTTGCCTCTGCTGATGGCCGCCGATGCCGATGTGCTGCTGCTGCTGCTGCTGCTGCTGCTGCTGATTCGGCGTGCCGCCGAAGTTTGTGCTGCCAAACACCGGCTGGCCGAACGCGTCCAGCTGCTCGCTCTCGTAGATGCTACGATCCGGCGTGTATGGCTTTTGCTGTTGTCGTTGGTGGTGATCGGTCACGGTCAGCTCGATATTGCCGGCCGTGCTACCGACGACGATGTCGTCGACATTCTCCGACGCGTTTGCCTCCTCCAGGCTGCTGTTTTTGATACCATACTGGAAGTACATGATGAAACCTGACGGCAGACGACAAGCGACAATTTGATTTGACTGATCATTCGAGATTTCACAGGAGGATGAAAATCGCATAGAATTAAATGATTAAATAACGAAGAATAAATGTAATCAAATCAAGTCGCGCCTTTGTTCATAAATATCTCCATCCATTAATAGCTTGTGATTATAAAAGATTATAAGTTTTATATTTTGGTTGTGTGATATAAATGTGTACCGAGAATCATCCAGACCGTGAACCTGACCAAGGTGAGGATGCTGAGTTTGAAGATGAGATAAATGTTAACGGTAACGGCGACCGCAGGGACGAAAGGTAAGCCTGGAGTCATGAACATTACGCTGCTCCTAAAACAAAAAGGGAAATGCAGGGAATTAACGCTTAGACCGTTCGCAGTTTTACGAATTACGCGGAATAATGGATTCAAACAATCCTACCTATTTTGTGGCTTTCTACTGATGACGAGCAGTACACCGATTATGGCAAAGAGAAATAAGAATAGCAGTATCGTTGTAAATGTTCCCATGTTACCTGAAAAAGAAGAAAAATTAAAAATGTTTCTCAAGATATATTTACAGCGACTTGTGAAATTCATCGAGTAACTCGAAAGCTTTTTCGAATTATTTAAATATACATCTCCTTATATGTTATCTCTTGGAAATGTTTTATGTGTCTTTTTCTTAGCGTACAAGTTATAAAAATTCATTATACATGCATTCTTTTTTTTTTCTTTCTTTCTTATTAGATTAGATTAGAAAACAATTTATAAAATTAATTTCATCAGTTTTACAAATAATTATATTTATTAATATAAAAATTGTATAACTGGCTCCTCACCCATCCCGCAGACGATAATCAGATCAAAAATAAGGATCAAGAGATATAAGATCCCAACAAGCTTCATGACGTAACGTCCTGACGCCTCTGTCGCAGGACCTCTGTCCACCCATGGGAATATAGCAGGACAAAGGTACTGTGCTGCCTACAAAACGTCACGATTAGCTTTATAACAATTGTAGTATTTTTTATATTTTTCACATTACCTTATGTTTTCGAATTAATTTTCGATATTAATCGACGATTAAATATTAATAAATTAGGGCAAAATTCTGAAATTCTATCGAAAGCTCATTACATGTCAAATATATTAATATAATAGCTAAAGTTTCGTCTATTATTGTATCTCAGATATCGATTGACTAAATCAGGAGAATTCTAAATATTAGCAAATAATCGGAATTTTTAATTATATCAAAGTTCCAAAACTCCAAAGTTTTTATGAAATAAATTTGCTCTTGAAAGGCTGAAATTTTCGAAAAACAGTCCTTTCATTTTCACATTGAGAGATGTATACTAAAAACATGCATATATATATTTCAGGTATGAGATGTGTTACGTAAAATTTTAACGCGAAGCATTTCGTGATAAATAAATCGGATAACAGGATCCTGTTATATATTATTCTCGAAATATCACGATCGGAATGATCTTTATTCCATGCCAAGCCGAATACCTTCGGCTCTTCGATTATCGATCACTACCTGAAGCCGACGTTGTAGATAATTCAATGGTGGCCCTATGATTGGCGTGTTTCCGGGATACTGATGAGCGCTACCGCAACTCGAGGCGGCCGCAGCTGCGTGCACACTTCCGTAGAATTTGTTCTCCGTCCTGTCGCTGACGAGATACTGATCGTCCTTACCCAGTCCGACCTCGTCTTCCTCGCCGCCGTACGTGTCATCCGAGTCCGGTGATGAGCTGTTGCACCTCCTCACCCGCCGTACCTGGAACGCCGTGCGAACGCAAATATAAAAATTGCGCAATCTTGGTCCATTCCCGCGTTCCACATCGCGGTTGATCCAATTTTGTTCGTTGACGTAGCAACGAGGAAGAAATGCAGTAAAAGGAAAAAAGATTGGCGTGCCGTTAGCTTGAAAATTTTATATCGAAGGAAACAAGTTTCTGCTCTTGTCTAACAAAAGATTTTTCATCGTATCGAAATGTGAAGAGAGAGAGAGAGAGAGAGAGAGAACGAAGAAAGGGAGAGAATTAGATATTATTAAGATTATTATATCATAAGTAATCA